GTCAAGATCTCCCAGTTCATGAATTCCAGCCCCGCATCAGGCTCTGTGCTGACAGCTCAGAGCCTGGAACCTGCTTCAGATTGTGTCTCCCTCCCTCTCTGCCCCTCTCTGCCTCTGAAAAATAAATAAACATAAAAAAAAAATCCCCAAGTTTGGGGTAAGAGACAGGGATGAATAACCAGAGCACAAGGGATTTTAGGGCATTTAGAATACTCTATATTATACAATAAGGTGAATACATGTCATTATACATTTGTCCAAACCCATAGAATGTACAATACCAAGAGAGAACCCAAAGGTAAATAATAGACTCTGCGTGATAACAATGTGTCAATGTCACTTCATTATTTGTAACACATGTACCGTATAGTGGAGGATGTCAATGATGGGGAAGGCTGTGCATGAGTGGAGGCAGGAAGAATATGGGAAATCTCTCTGTTTTACCCAAAATTCTGCTGTGAACCTAAAACTACTCTATAAAAATAATCTTAAAAATATATATAAACCACTTCAAAGCTATGGGCAAAATTAACTTCATATATATACCAAAGCAGTGGCAGATAGATAAATTCCTCCTTAATATCTCATATTAGATAGACTATTCTCTAAGGGGAAGGAGAAAAGGGTGAAGAAGACAAATGATTTTATGAAGTTTCCCTTTTAACAGGTGAGTGGAACTCAAAAACATTCAGTTCATAAATTGAGTTGTTAGGTCTGTCATGATTTAATAGACTAAACCTATAAATATCTATTTTAATCCCTGCCTCACTTTTTTTTTATTGATTACCACCCTTCACCAATCTCTCACCCTTCGCTCATGTACATACCCAAGGCAATATGATGGAAGAGTCGTGGTACTACATTATCTGATCAAAATGCACATTTGATTTGCATCATAAAATGTGAATGAAAATGAAAAAGACAGCTGGATTTACTGGTGCAGATATCTGATTTTGCAGGAAGATGACATCCATCATTACTCATGATGTAGAACCTATATTTTCCAGCCTGACAGTATCAGGCTGATGAAATATGCATTCAATGCATATTTGCAAAGCTGAGAAAAATTTTAAACACATTATCTCAATCCCGTTCACTGAAAAAATGAATATTCTTGCAGTTATTAAGAAATGTGTATGTGTCAAGGATTTGAACTTGTTTTTGCCCCTCAAAGATACTCATATTTGATCTTTTATTAAAAATAAAACTAAATTATATCTGTAGGGTGAGAATTTACAATGAAAAATTATTTTCTCTATTTTTTCAATTACATTTGAATAAAAACTTCAAGATTGAAGTACATATGTAAAGTAGTTTGCCCATTGCCAATTTCTGAGGCAACCATAATTAACTTACATGTTTATTCTCATATTCATCCTTAAATGAACAGAATTTTTTTATTATTTATTCACTGACTCACAGACTCCCAGTACAATGATATAATAATGATTATATCAATGTTAAGTGTCAATGCAAAACATAAGCCAAGTTCATAAGTTCCTACTAAGCCGAAATTTGAATAAAAAACCCCCACAAACATTGGGACCTTGAATGGGGTTGTCTTACATCTACAGAAAAGTGGGAGAGAATTGATCATTTCACAGTATTATGTCCAGTGGTCCATGACATAATGTAGACTTCCATTATTTAAAAATTAAGGCCATATTTGTTGATAATGAATCAAACCAGTTGACCTTTGTGCTGTTAAAAAAAAGTAACCAGGTAAATTTTAAAATCGAATTCACTTTGTTAAGCCTTTTATGAATGAGGCAACATTCCATCTAGCAAATAGAAAGGAGTTCTAAGGTTCTGTATAAGATGGAAGGATTTTATTATAGGCAGGTATGGGGAAGGACAAGAAAGAAAGAAAGAAAGAAAGAAAGAAAGAAAGAAAGAAAGAAAGAAAGAAAGAAAGAAAGAAAGAAAGAAAGAAAGAAAGAAAGAAAAAGAAAGAAAGAAAGAAAGAAAGAAAAAAAGAAAGANAAAAGAAAGAGGAAGAAGGAAGGAAGAGAAGAGAAGAGAGAAGAGAAGAAGGAAGGAAGGAAGGAAGGAAGGAAGGAAGGAAGGAAGGAAGGAAGGAAGGAAGGAAGGAAGGAAGGAAGGAATTTTTTGAGACAAGGTCACCTTCCCTTAGGACAGAGAAGGTTTACCTCCTTAGTCCTGACCAGAAAATTCCTCACTACATTACTGTGAGAGGTTGAAAGTGAAATTAGATTATGTGTTAAGCCCTGCAGCCTCAAAGGTGACTACATTTGGGGCTTGAGTTTTTCTTTTTAACAATGTATTACTTTGTATCTATACTGTCCCATGCTAACCTCCCTTAGTAATTCAACTGCTAATAGCTCATGCATAATGTCTATAGGTTCCCAAGGAATTTCTATGCTCAAATTATCTTGAGGTACCTGAGTGGTCCAGTCAGTTAAACATTCGACTTCAAGTCACATCATGATCTCCTGCTTTGTGATTTTAAGCCCCTCATTGGGCTCCGCACTGACAGTGCAGAGCCTGCTTGGAATTCTCCCCTCTCCCTGCCCCCCACCCAACTGTGCATGCATGCTCTCTCTCTCTCTCTCTCAAAATATAAATAAAAAATCATCTTATCTCTGAATAATAAAACTTTTATTTCTTCTTTCAATCCTCATGCATTTTATTAGCTCTTTTTTTGCCTTACTTCATTAAGACCTGAAGAAAGATGAAGGAAAACTGGAGACAGTGGATTTTTTGGTCTTATTTCTGATCTCAGAGAGAAATGTCTCAATAAATCACTGTTAACTATGATGTTTCTAATTTTTTTTAAATTTTCCTTATAACATGGAGATACTCTTTTGTATGCTCAGTTTTTGAGTTTTTATCGAATGTATTTTATTAAATACTTTTTGCATCTATATAAATGATTATATAATTTTCTTCATTTTTAAACTTTTTCTACTTTCAGTGTGATGATATATATTATTTTTTTCTGTGTGTGACTGTATCTTGACTATTGCTCAGAAGTGGGCAAATTTTAATGTTCTGTTATCAAGTTTACTGATTCTCTCTTCTGTCATTTTCATTGTATTATTGAGCCAATTCAGTAAGTTTTTATTATTGTTATTTTTAATGTGTACTTATTTTTGAGAGAAAGAGAGAGAATGTGAGAGAAAGAGAGAGAGAGCATAGAAGGAAAGGGACAGAGAAAGAGGGAGAAAGAGAGGATCCCAAGGAGGCTCTGTGCTGTCAGTACAGAGCCTGACACGGGGCTCAATCTCAGGAACCGTGAGATCATGACCTGAGCCCAAGTTGGACACTTAACTGACTGAGCCACCCAGTACCCTCAATAAGGTGTTTTTTTAAAAAAATTATGTTAATGCATTTTAGATCTATAATTTTCATTTGAGTTTTATCATAATTTATATTTCTTTGCTGAGATTTTGTAATTTTTCATTTGATTCAAGAGAATTTATAATTTCTTGTTGATATAGTTTTATTAAGGTGGCTTTAAAGTCCTTATCAGACAATTCCAGTAGGTAATTCATCTAGTTTGAGTTAGCTATCTTTACATATTTAAGTTGTGACTTTCCTGGTTCTTTGAGGAGTCTGCTATTTTATTGTATCCTGTCTACTTTGCTTGTTATGTTGAGATTGTGGCTCTTATATAAAACTTTTTCTTTTTAGCAGGAATTCATTCTACCACAAAGGTCCTAGCCTAGTTTTATAAGCTATGGTTCAAAATATACTTCTTAGAACCTGCTTGGCTTCATTGGTCTCATTGATTTCTCACTGTTCCCTGCTGATGCCATTTGAGGAAGTGGAAGGAGCTTTCTCAGCCTGGCCCCCCCTGGTGCCACGAAGTGGACAAAGGGATGCTTTATCCAGCAGTGGGCTGGAGTTCCTTGCTTGGGTGGGTGTCCTCTGAGCTGTTCCTACCATCCTGAGATCCCTAATGAGTCCTTTCTTCCTTCCACCTTTCAGAGGTCGACTTGCATTTCAGTCATCTCTTGCAGGTTCTTGAGTGTTTATAGTTACTGAGAGGGAAGCAAGGGAAGATGAAACAATACACTTTTCTCTGGACCAGAAGTTGTTCTAAATCATCTTGATAGCCAATTCTCTCATGACTTGAGGTTGAGCATTTTTTCTAGATGTTTACTAACAAACTGTGTTCCCATATTCATTAGTTGTCTCTTCACTGATTATTTGTAATTCCCCTCCTAGTTGTGAGATTTTTAAATTAAAATCCACATATGCTTTTTCTAGTTGTGTTTGTTACAAATAACTCCTTGGCTTCTAGTACTTCTTTAGCTATTTCTTACATTTATCTTGATATAATTTTTGAAGAACTTGACATTATTGTAAGTGATAAAACTAGACCTGTTAGTCTAAAATTTTAAACATGTTGAGAGTTGATGATAACTGTCTCCACCATTACTCCAAGTGTGCAGGGAAAGAAAGAAATAAAAGATGCAATAATATGACAGGAAAAGAATACCTAGGTGTCTGGGGTTTTTTTTGTTTTTTGTTTTTGGTATTTTGTTGTTGTTGTTGTTTTGCAAAAGTGCTTGAGCGAATCAGGGCAATTTGTTTAATCTGAATTAGCTCTTTCATCAACATCTTCAGGGTCGTTTATTTTTATATCTCCAAGTGGCTCATAATAGAGGTTCAATAAATATTTACTAAATTAATGACCTCAAGACTTGAGCACCCCATCTTCTTATAGAAGCCATAATCTCTCATATCACCTAATATAGACCATACACTTAAGAGATATCTATGAATATGAATGGAAGATGATGACATTGTGAGTGAACAAGGCCCACCAAATGGTGGGAAGAGAAAGGAGGTGATGGCTGTATTCCTACAATGTTACGTCATTCATTCCCCCTATCTTTAATGAAATGTTTCTTACCAATAGGGAAAAAAAGAGAGGTGAAGAGACACCCAATCACTTCAAGGTGCTGCTATCATATAAGATGTTTTGTGAGCATCCTGATGACGGAATCATTTTTACTCTTTTTTTATTTTAGGTTCAGGTTCTTCGGAATGCTGGAGAAGAAGTGACCCTGACGGTGTCATTTTTAAAAAGAGCACCTGCTTTCCTCAAACTCCCACTGAATGAAGACTGTGCATGTAAGCATTTATGAAGAATAGGTAAAATGCTCACATCATCAGATTTATTTTCAAAACCATTATTTCCTGACAGTAATTGATAATTTCTTTTTAACATTGGGATTTCTGCCTGAATACAAATATTTTTATATTACAAAGCATTCTATGATTGCTTATGCAAAGGGAGCAGATGTTATTTTTGTTTCAGAGTGTATTCAGCACATTTACAGTTATTTTCTAGCCCATAACTGGGGACACATTATTTATTTTAAAAATAGTATCCTAACAAATACCTACATTGTATATCTCTATTAAATTTCATTCATAATATCTGATTAATATATTTTCTCTAACTAAAAAATGATATAATACTTGGCTCCTGGACTTGCTAAACAAGCATTTACAGTTGTCATTGAAGGAAGCACCAGTCTATGTGGAAATGGAATAATTTTCATAAGACTTACTTTAAAACATCTGTATCAATTTGTACATTAAGAAATAAAATATTATCTAACATTTTGCTAAAAATCAAAGAAGAGTATGTCTTTTAACTGAGGCATAATTTGCATGCAATGAAATGCAAAGATCTTAAATGCACAATCAGATTGGTTAATCTATATGCCTTTAAATAACAGAAGGAAAAAATTTAAAAAATAACAGAAGGATTCCCCTGTGGCCCTTCCCAATACATAACAGTCCAAGAAACAACCATTAATTTAATTTCTTATCACTATTCATTCTTTTTCTTTCTTCTAGAATTTTTTTAGAATGCAATCATACTGTATTTACTCTTTTACATCTAGTTTCTTTCACTATGAAAAATCCTTGTGTTATAAATTCAGTCAATTGTTCATTCACATTGCTGGGTAGTATTCCATTAGATAAATAGAATAAAGTTTGCTAATCATTCTCCTATCGATAGATAACACACCTTGTTTCCTGTACTTTGCCATTATAAATGAAGCTACTATGAACATTCTTGTACAAGGCTTTTAGAAGTCTTCCAACTTTATGTCACTTCCATAAGTACTTAGGAGTGGAGTTGCCGAGTCATCAGGTAGATGTATAAGTAACTTGTTAACTTCCCAAAAGTATTTCTACAGAGGACATTTATTTAAAAATCTCTTACTCTCCACTCCAGCAATGTATGAGAGAGTTCTAACTGTTCTATATTTATTCCAGTATTTTATAGTCAAAGGTATTTTTTTTTTAGCTATTCTATCAAGTGTATAGTGTATCTTATTGTAGTTGTAGTTTGCATTTCCCCAAAGACTAATTATGATTCATTCTTATCATGTAGTGTTTGCATATATTATTGGAGATCTGCATATCTTTTTTTGTAATGTGTCTGCTCATAGTTTGCCCATTTTTCTATTGGTATGTCTTTCTATTCTTGTACTACAGGGATTTAAGAAAATATTCTATACATAATCTTTGTCAGCTTTATGGATTACAGTACTTTTCTCTCAGTCTATGGGCTCCTATGTTTTATTTAAAGGTGTCTTAGGTTTGCAGAAGTTTTTAATTTTGACAAACTCTAATTTGCCATCTTGTTGTCGCTCTTACTGCATATGGTTATTGTTTTCTGAATCTTCTCTAAGAAATACTTGCCTACCCCAAGGTTGCAAAGAGATTCTGCTACATGTTCCTGAAAGCTTTATGACATTGGCTTATGTGTTTAGAGTCCATCTTATACGAATTATTATTTTGTGTCAGTGCTAGGAATTTAGAATCAAGAAATTACTTTATTGGGGCACCTGGATGGTTCAGTCAGTTAAGCATCCAACTTTGGCTCAGGTCATGATCTCAGAGTTGGTGGGTTCGAGCCTAGCATTGGGCTCTGTGCTGACAGCTCAGAGCCTGGAGCTTGCTTCAGATTCTGTCTCCCTCTCTGTCTGCACCTCCCCAGCTTGTGCTCTGTCTCTCAAAAATAAATAAGAATATTTAAAAAATTACAAAAATAAATTTCCTTGTTATTTTCATTAATTTTTGTGTTTATCCTTCCACAGTAAGTGCAGTATTAATCTCCAAGGATAGGTTCTCCAATTTTGCAATTGTTCATGATTATTTAGCTATTCTAGACCCTTTGCATTACTGCATATATTTTAGAAATAGCATGTCAACTTCTACAAAATTCAGTTACAGTTCTGAATGGGACTAAGCTGGATTTATAGATAATTTGGAGAATTAACATATTAACAACTTTAAATCTTTCAGTTCTATGAACATAATATAACTTTCCATTTATTTATGTTTTAATTTTTCTCAGCCACATTTTAGTATTTTCAGTGGGAGAGTCTTGCATATATTTCATTAAATTTATTTCTAAGCATTTTTTATTCTACCATAAATGGCATTAAAAAATTTTTCATGTCCAGATATTGCTAATAAATAGATATACATTTATATATTCTGCATCATAGGCTTAATTTTCCTATTAGTCTAGGTAGGATTTTTTGTCCATTCTTTAAGGTTCTATACTTATACAGTTATATGATCTGAAAATATTGAATTCTCCTTTCTTGATGATCTGTATTTTTAAAATTCCTTTTTCTTGCCTATTGCAATGGCCAGAACTTCCAGTAAACTGTTGGACAAAGTATTGAGAGCAGACATGTTTCTTTTGCTCAAGACATTAGCAAATATTAGAGAAATTTCCAGTCTCTTACCATTAAGTATGATATTCATATATGTGTTCACATATGCCCTTTATTAAAGTTGAAGAAGTGCTCTTTTATTCCTAAGTTACTGAGGATTTTTCTTTTTAACATAAGTTGATGTTGAATTGTCACAAGTATTTTTTTATATCCACTGAGAGATTATATTTTTAATCTTTTTTTATTCTGCTGAGATGGTGTATTTTTAAGTATTTATTTTGAATGTCAAGTTAAGCTTGTTTTCCCAAGGTTGAATACCACATGGGCATGAAACATTGTTTTTTTAAAAAAATATGCTGGTTTCAATTTTTTAATATATTAAGACTTTTTTGAAAAAAATGTGTTCATGAGGGATGTCCATATATACCTTTTTAAAATACTTTAGTGGGATTTAGGTACCAGGGTTTTTAATGTTTTCATGTAAGTTGTGGAGTGATAACTGCTCCTCTATTTCCACAAATAATTTTCTTGACAGCAATAGTATATTTTTCTTAAATAATTTAATAAATTCACAAAAAGCAATCTGAGCCTAGAATCGTAGTTTTCATTTTGTATGAATTAATCTCTTGAGTGCTTATAGGACTTTTTCTGATACCTTTTTGTTTTGTAGGGTTTGGTAATGTGTTTTTCAAATGTTTTAACCATTTTAACGTAGGAATTTAATGCATGAAATCATTCATCATATTGTTTTAGTCTTCTTTTTAAGGTTTGCTGGCTTGCACTAATACTACCTCTTTTGTTCCTGATATTAATAACTTGTATTTTCTCATTCTTCTGCTATATCAGTTTTGTTATGGGTTTTATGAACCTTTCCCTGAAGAACCCATTTTCGTCTTGGTTAATTTTGTCTCTTCTTTTGTTTCAATCTTATTATTTTCTACCCTTCTTTTATTATTACTGTCTTCTATTTACTTTGATTTATTTTCTCTTTCATATCTAACTTCTTAAGGTGAAACCATAGATTATTAACTTTATACCTTTCTTTTGTGAATTTATTTAAATCTTTGAATATCACTGAAAAAACTGCTTTAGATCTGTCACAGAATTTGACATATCATTTTATTCTGTTCCAAATGGATATAAATTTTAAAGTAATATATTTATGCATTAAAACATTGTCTCATAAGAGACAAATGCAGGTAAACATCAAAAGAAAAACTAGCTAAAATGAAGTATGAAATGCTTAAGATTTAAAAAGTAGAAAAATTATATTCATGCTACTTTGGAGAAAATCCTGTGATCTATGTCTTGGCACCAGGAAAGTTATGGAACTTTAGAGTGATATAAAACTGAAAACAAAATCAGTTACTTTTTTCAACACATTAGTTAATGTCAAGAGTGTCACCTATGACCTCTGATGTTTGAATTTAAGTATAATATTTCAAATAAAAATTGGGAGTCAATTATATTAATCGTACATATTTGTCAACATTTGCACCTTCAAAATATATAATGTTTTCAAATAAGGCGATTCATCAAAAACCAAGAAATACATATTACAATCTTGACTGGAAAAATTACTGAATTGTGAAATTTTAATTTAAGAAACCATTACTCATATTTAGGTTTCTCATGGGAATCTGCTATGAAATTTTTTAGTTTCAATTTCACCAGTTTAGATAGTATCAGTGAAGGTACTTCCAATTATAACACATGCCAAGAACATTTATACAAAAGGAGTCCATGCCAACTTTATTTGCTTCATGGAAAGTTATTGTATCTACTGATATAATTAGCAGGTAGGTTGAAGCATGACAATGAATAGAACTTTGTAGACAAAACAAATTCTGCACAATTGTAAGTGTGGTTCATAAGTAGAGGTCACTTTGGATAATGGAATTAAATAACAGTTCTATAAGGTTGTATGTTTTTATTAATAAAGCTTTGCATCGTTTCTGAAATCAAAGTTAAATGCATGGCTCTCTCAGGGCCCCATTTTAGTAACTTAGCTTTCTTGCAAAAGTCTGGCTTTGATAGAAGTAAGGTAAAACTTTATTTTGCTAACTGATTTTCTTGATATTATTGAGTATATGGAAGTATGTAATGTAGAGTGCATTAGTCTAGAATATTTGGTATCCTGACCAATGGGTGTTGTGATTTTATTTCCCACAGGTGCTCCAAGTGACCAGAGCAGTGGCACCTCCTCTCCTCTTTGTGACAGTGGCTTGCATCTCAACTATCATCCCAACAATACAGTAAGATGACCAAGGCATAGTTCAGATTAGTAAGGAAAGAACATAAAGAAAGGCCAAATATGTGTGTGTGTGTGTGTGTGTGTGTGTGTGTGTGTGTATCTGTTTTGCAAAATGTGTTATTGAATCTCATTGCTCTGATATAGTTGAAGTCCTTGTTTGCCTCATCCTTTAAGAATTAGTATAAATCAGGGGATTCCTGGGTGGTTCAGTCAGTTTACTGTCCGACCATTGGTTTCAGCTCAAGTCATGATCTTGCGGTTTGTGAGTTCCAGCCCTGCATCAAGCTCTGTGCTGACAGCATGGAGCCTGCTTGGGAATCTCTCTCTCATCTCTTTCTCTGTCCCCTTTCTGTTCGCGTGCTCTCTCTCTCAAAACAAATAAGTAAACTTTAAAGAATTAGGGTAAACCAAGAAAAAATAAATAGTTCAATTATTATTTTGTATATTTTTAAATGTTTATTTATTTTTAAGAGAGAGAGACAGAACACAAGCAGAGGAGGGGCAGAGAAAGAGGAGACACAGAATCCAAAGCAGGTTCCAGGCTCTCAGCTGTCAGCACAGAGCCCGACTTGGGGCTTGAACTCACAAGCCATGAGATCATGACCTAAGCCAAAGTCAGTGACTTAACCGATTGAGCCACCCAGGTGCCTCAGTCAATTATTTTTTAATGTCATTTTTCTCCACCTAGGTCTGCATTATGCCTTTTGCAAGCTAATGAGACTAACTTCATGAGATCACACATAACATCATATAATCATTTTATAACCATTCATTCTGTACATAATTTCATGCTCTAAATGATTTAACATGATTTTTATCTTTTGAAATTCACATTTAGCTGAAAGTAGCTGTTTAATTTTCCTTTTGGTAGGATTTCTTAGCAATCTGCAGGCATACCAGGACATTAACACAATTTGAGAAAAATCTATCATCATATTAGAACGTAATGAATGTTAAACTACACGTGTATTTATTCATTGATAAAATTGGTATGTTTGTTTTATAGACATTTAATAAAATGTTAAATTTCCTTTTCCACTTATAACTTGTGGCAAACAAGTTTTTCTTTTAAATAAATATGTTTGAACACCTTATATTTCACCCTTCAAAACATTCACACATTTTAAAAACAAAGCAGTTTTCTCGGCTTACGTGTGTCTGACTTTTTCCTGGGATCATGGACCTGAAAAGCAGCAGAACTGATACAAAGCAGAAATTTATTTTCCTATTTCTACATATTAGGCTATAAAACACATGTAGCTTCTGACTTGTAAGATTCATCTTCCCTTTTAAATTCTTGACCTAATTGTGTCATTTTACATCAGAGTAGTTCTTTTGGCCATCTCCAACCTATATTGTACATCAGTGCCCCGGTACTGTTCCTTACCTGTGTGCCTCAGGTACCCGAGTCCTTTCACAGGTTATTGTTTCTTTGATCCTAAAGGTTCCTCTTTAGAACACAGGGATATCTCTCCCTGCATAAACCAAGCACATCTGGGTGTATTTACTTTGATCTTCTCTTTTCTTTTCCTTGCCAGAGAAATAATTGTTACGTTATAGATAATATGTAAAACACCAATCTTTCAGAAGATGGCACGATCAGAGTGGTTTTAACACTGATTTCCTAATGAGTAAATAAATACATAAATTTTGTGCTGCCATTAGCACACTTCCCAGTTCTATAGACTTATAGTCTCCAAACAAATAAATCTTTACCTCTTACTTCAGGAACCACTCACCTTGTTTCCTTATGATCCAGATGCCCTTGGTGCTTTCGATGCCCTTCCATTCCCCTTTTCTGGGCTGGTGCACCTGCCCCCAGGTGCTGTGAGTGCTGGTTACCTGCCCCCCAAACCGTCCCATTCACTGCTGACCTGTCTTGTCAGGAGCCTCTGACTGGGAAGCTGGAAGTACCACTCTAACCACCTGAGGCTTCTCTTCAGGAGCCCACATTTCTGGCAAAGTTGCTCCCTGTCTCATCCTGATTCTCTCTGTCCACACAGCTTTCTCCTGAGAACTTCCCCTTCACATATCATGGACCCAAAGTCCTCACCTTAGCCCTGCTCCTCAGACAGGAAGGAAGAGCTCTTTTACCTCCAAGTGGGAGGAAGCTCTTTAATCATATTTTTATTCTAATTCTTGTCCTTGTACCCTTGGATTCCTTTATGATCATGAGACGTAGGGAAGTCAGCATGGATGGGCTATGGGTAAGGATCAGTCTGGCTTGTTTTCAATTCATCCCACTGACATACACAAACACATGTGTGGAATTAGTTTCATAAACTGTGCCTCTATGTTGCCCCTTACTATTATGTCCTCCTTTAGAAAGGAATAATTAATGCAAGAAAATCACTCAGTAATCCTATAACATGACCGTTCCAAGTAAACCTAGTTATATAACATTTTTAAAAAAAGGTCATAAATTTCCCTTATAGGGATTATGTCTTTCCATTTTCAAGAGGCCCTTTGCTTATGTTTTTAGCATTAGGATTGAACATTATTTTGACATCGCTGAGGATCTTTAAGTGAAAGGGAATTCATGAGATTTATGGTTTTAGAGAATAAGAATCAAGACATATGTAAATTGAGATAGGGTGTATTAACTTAAAAAAATCAATGTGCTTCAATTAAATGAATTTCTGCTGGGAACCTACTTTGTGGAAACACTTTTCTGGGTACCATAGGGAGAAGTTAATTGTGTTTCCTGACCCAAAAAGTTTAAAATTCAGATCTCTAGACAAATGCATGAAATTAACTATTATAGAAGCAGAAAAAGAACAACGAATATAACCTTCTGATATCAGATATCTAGGGCTGCTGGAGACTTTGAATATTTGACTTAATTGAGCTCAGTAAAAATTGAAGGACAACAAACCAAAGTTTGTTCTGATGCCTAAAAGGGGATAAGTGTCAGGCCCTATCGGATCGTACTGCCTTACCCAGATGGATTTTGCCTATTTCTCCTCCATAAGGTGTGGAGAGTACAGGATATTTCTACTCAAATATTTATAAAATTAGGAGCAATCAAAGGCATGCTTTCTTCTCACCCATCAATAAATAAATGAGCAGTGCAAACTGGGAAAGAAGTATGCACTGTGAAACACATTTTCCACAGACTGTGTGCACATTAAAATAGTCTCCTGTAGAGAAACATTCAATTCTCTCAGGTGTCTAAATCTTCAAGTCTATCCTGAACCCAGGTAACCCATTTTTAAATTTCTGTGCCTTAATTACTCTCTGAAGCAAATTTTGAGTAAGTAGGCACAGTTTTTGTTTTCTGAAACAGCATTTTAAGCATGTGGGAAAATATTTTAACAGTGCTCCATCCTTTTACTAAAAATATAGTCTAATCCTTCTAAGGACTCCAGGTCACCAATTTTCAGGTATACAAGAGTCCTCTGGTTGGCCATCCAATGTGAGAAAAAGAATTTGTTTTGTGTCCAGCAGGAGACTTAAATTCAGATAATTACATATCCAGATTCTGAATAACATTTTTCATAATTGTATACCTTTAATGAATACACTTATGCCATGTCCTTAACAAAGTCTGGATCAGCATTTTGCTCTGTATTCGATTCTATTTTGGTATGACTATTCTTGAGTGGCAATTGCATGGCAACATGCCTTAAAATGTGTTAAGTTTGGGGAAAGAATCTATTTTAAGGCAAAGAATATCTAAATATTACTTTTACCATTTACATTATTAATATTCTGGGAAACAACATTCTTGACATTGAATAATAAAGCTCTTAAAATGTTATGATCCTTGAAATTGCAAAAATTGTTGGTTTTAGCTCATATGTAATTAAAACTCATATATAAAATAACTCTAAGATTACTCTTAAAGAAAAATGAGAGAGAAGAGAAAGAAAATTTATATTCCACTTTCACAATTAAATGAAGATAAATAATCTTCAAAGGACACTAGATAGTCCGTTATAAATAACAGATCTGTAAGATGAAATTAACACTGATAGGTTCAATAGCTGGGACCTCTTTTTTCTTTTTTTTATGTTTATTTATTTTTGAGAGAGGGAGAAACAGAGAGACAGAGAGAGAGAGAAACAGAGCATGAGCAGCAGAGGGTCAGAAAAAGAGGAAGACACAGAATCCGAAGCAGGCTCCAGGCTTTGAGCTGTCAACACAGAGCCGGACACGGGACTCAAACCCACGAACCGTGACCCGAGCCAAAGTCAGAAGCTTAACTGACTTAGCCACCCAGGTGGCCCTGAAGTGGGACCTATTTCATATTTTTTATAAGGAGGAAATTTAAAAGAAAGTGACAATGACAACTTTATTCATAAAAGTATCAAGTTGAGGTTCTACATCAAAGATATGTCAAAGATCACATGCATTTTCATACCTGAATATTTCATTTCATATGTTCATAGAAGACTATGAAGTCATATAAAACATAATTTGTAAAACTTATCATACTCATGTATTGGTGATTATTATTGTCCTCAATAACCCATAGCTTAAGCCTTTATGTTCTTTTACGGTTTCTATGTCCTTTGTTCAAGGAACATATAAAGTAAGGGGAGCTATTTGTGCTTTTCAAGAAAGATGAGGAACCATCATCTTTAAATAATTTGCCTAAAATCATGTAGCCAAATAGTGAAATAATCAAGACAAAAATCCAAATTATTCTTTGCATAGTTTCACCTGCAAGTATGAGTAAAAATTTTGTGGATCTACAATCGTAAAGATGTAGGTCTGAATGGATATGCCTCACATTTCATTTGCAGGCTGGTCGACTTGGGTCAATTATTTACCGTAAAACTTCTCAGTAGAGCACCAGGTGCATGGGTCCTGTGAGTGGATTCCAGATATACTCTTATATGTGCTTAATAGTCATTGGTGGACCTGGGACACTTACACTCCCTACGGTCTGTGCCGACCACAGAAACCTAGTCTGTTTACCCTAGTGTGATCAGTCACGATCATTATTTCTTCAAGTGCCTTCATGTAGAAAAACAATCATTTAATGGGCCTAAAAAGCTTTAGGTTTTTCTTCTGTGAGAAGAGCCTTTTGATAACCTTGTCTTTGGAGATAGGCACAATAAAACACAGGTAATTTATATAAATTACTTCTAGGTTAAAGGAATCGTAAATTGGGAAATTGACAGTTTTGAACCCAGGTGGTCTGATCCTGATTCATAGCCTGAGCCTTCCTCACGCTGTTGTACTGCCACCTAACTGACCCCATTTCACATGCTGACCATCTATAACATGTGACATCATGGCCAGAAGAAGGATGACCATGAAACCTATGTTTGTGCCTTTGCAGTCACAAGAGAAGCATGAAAGACTAGGTGTCTTAGAAACCAACCACAAGTAGCCCTTCACTGGATGGTCCTAACAGGTCTACTCTTGCCTTCCCATCCAGTGTTCTCTGCAACTGGAAGGATTTAGAAGACATTTATTGGCAAAATTGGTACAATTAACATAATGATGCCAAACAGCATGCAACCTTTAGTGAAAGCAATGGAAGCAATTTTGAAGCAATGAATACCTTAAAATGTTAGTGGTGCCTGACAGTCTTAGTCAGTGTGTCCTGGGACTCTTGATCTTTGAGCTCTGGGTTTGAGCCCCCTGTTGGTGTAAAAATTACTTAAAAATAAAATCTTTACCAAAAATGTTAATAATACTATTGAGACTAATGGAGTTTCAAAATCTAGACTAAAATAGAATTTTCTAACATCATCACTCAAAAATTATAGAATACAAAGAAACCAAATTGTGCCTTGGCCCTTATAATCCATGCAAACTTAAATATCAACATTATTCTAGATACCACTGCCAAGAAGAAATTTTTAAGTAAAGCTGAAATAATGAAAGAAGCAATAATCATCATCAAGTGTAAAAAGCCCAAATTTTATTCAAATATATGTCTCTTTTATAGGTGAGGGAAAAGACCCAAATTTCTAATGAATCTTAAAATACATGTAATTTTAAACCAGCAATGGGTGATTTAACATGACTTTAAAGCAATATAGAAAAATACAAACATTTTATAAACACAAATTTAAAACACTGGACAGAGATTTCCTTGAGTAGTTTTTAAGAGTTGTTTTATAAAAACATTCACTGTACTCAAAAATATTTACAAGTAACTGATGAATTACAAGCACGTATAACACTATAGCACTTAGCCAATACTCAGAGAATATTGGGCAATGAAATGAGCTACAACTTATTTTTATATTTGTCACTTACTACTTCATTGTATTTTGTTCCATATTTGCCATTCCTGAAAGAATTCAGTTCTGTCACCCTTTCTTTTCTGCCTTCTCCCCACTTCATTTTTTTCATATGTTTTCCCTACCATTCTTAATCTCTATTATTCCCTCCTCATTTTCTTATACAATTCCGTTAATAAAGAAATTAAAAATAAAGGGGTGCCTGAGTGGCTGAGTTAGTTAAGCATCCAACTTTGGCTCAGGTCACGATCTTGCAGTCTGTGAGATGGAGCCTCACATCTGGCTCTGTGCTGACAGCTCAGAGCCTGGAGCCTGCTTGAAATTCTGTGTCTCCTTCTTTTTCTCTGCCCCTCCTCTACTCACACTCTGTCTCTCTCTCTTAAAAATAAAATAAACACTAACAAAATTTTAAATTAATAAATTAAAAAGAAGTTAAGAATACAAATTTATTGGTGATGAATATGGATTGGTTTTTGAGGCATTCTATACATGTCTTTTGATTATTTAGGGGAAAAAAATGACCCATCAAATGAAAAGCATTTGTGACATAGGAACTCAAAACACAGAAATGAAAAAAGAATACTGATTGTTTGTATTGTTTTCAGGACACACTGTCATGTTCTTCATGGCCAACATCTCCAGGCCTGAGATGGGAAAAACGATGGTGTGACCTGAGGCTGATTCCGCTGCTTCATTCACGTTTCTCTCAGTATGTGCCTGGGACAGACTTGAGTCGGTGAGTGCACCCTAGTGAGTTCTGATTTTCTGTTCACTGAAAGAGGCTTGGAACCAAACTTTTAACATTATATGGCTTCCCTTTTTTTATTCTCAGCACAATTCTAATAGCAGCAAGAAGAACTATAAGAAAAATAGTATAACTCAGTCAAACATTTATGAATCTGATGATAAAAAAACATTAGGTTATTGCCCTGACTCGACTACTAACTTGCTATATTGGATTAAGTGTCCTTAATAGATACAAATTTATTGAGTTTTGTTTATTTCCTATCTTGGTTTTAATAAGTTGTTTTTACTCAAGGAAATTGTACAGTACTTTTAGATAGCAAGATTTATCTTCCTGTACTTGATAATATTCTCATATTACTATCTTTTTAAATAAATGTAGATGCTAAGTGATGTCTTTTTCATTCTTGAATTTTCTTCTCTCTTTTTGTCTTAGTCAGTTTTTCCATGGGGTTGTAACTTTTATTAACTTATTTTTTCAAAAGCCTGTTTGGGGTTTTGTTGAAGCTTTTCATTATGTGTATTTATTATAATTAATGAGTTTCTGCTTCTTTTTTGATTGTTTTCATTCCTTAAATTCTTCAGCTTGACTTTTTGATCTTAAATCTTCTTGAGATGGATGTTCTGAGGGATCCAGAAACTTCTCTGTAACAGGTTAAGTTTATAGTAATAGTAAATATTTTAGGCTTTGCAGGACTTACTATCTCTGGCAAAACTATTGAATTTTGTCTTTGTTTCATGAAAACAGCCACAGACAATATATAAATGCCTGGGTATGTCTGTATTCCAATAAAACTTTATTTATGAAAACAGGTGGCAGGCAATACTTGATCAATAGGCTACAGCTTGCCAACCTTTGGTTTGATCATTAATTTTTCAGACTTTCTTTGCTAATATATGTAGTCAGAAGTGCACGTTTCCACCCAGCCTGCCTTAGTTATACTCACAGATTTCAGGATTATATCTTGATTTATTTACATTGCTTTTGAGAATATCATTTGGTATAGTTTCCTGAGTGGTTGAATATACATATTCACATCACAAGTATTGGTGATTTATCACTTTGAATAAAGTATAGAAACATTACTTCCATTTAGGTTTCTTAATCCCTCCTACTTTGTAAGTATAATTATCTTAATTTCTTATATGTATATCAAGCACCATATTAGGTGGCAGTATGATTTTTGCTTCAATCATCACAATGATCTTAAAAACTTAAATAAATTTGGAAAGTTATTTAAAGTCCTAAACCTTCTGTTAACATTTCCTTCCTACTTAGAGATTTTTTTAGCCATTCTTTAAAGGTTGTTTAATAGCATCAAATTCTCTTAATTTCCTTTCTCTGAGAATATATCTTTATTTTATCTTCATTCCAAAGGATAGTTTCCCTGGATATAGGAATCAGACTTGATAATTTTTGCCTTATATCCGAAAAATGGTGTGCACTGCCTGTGGGCCTCTGTGGGCATTCAAACTGGTGCTTCCCTTTTCTTTCTCTCTTGCTGTTTTCCAAGATTTTTTTTTCTTTTTCTTTTTCTTTTTTTTTTTTTTTTTTTTTTTTAGTTTTCAGAAGTTTAATTCTCATGTGTCTTTGAATGGATTTCTTTGAATTTATTCTCTCCCGGCTTCACTTGGATTCTTAAATCTGCATGTTTATGACTTTCAGCAAATTATGGATGTGATTATTTTTTTAAATACTGTGTCAGTCCAGTCTTTCTTCTCTCCTGTCGCTTTGTCAATACTATGTTAGCTCTTGCATTATTCTTCCACAGGTCCCTGAAAATTAATATTTACTTTTTAAACTTTATTTATTTACTTTGAGAGAGAAAGTGCGAAGGAAGAGTGGCAGAGAGAGAGAATCCCAAGCAGTTTCCACACTGTCAGTGAGAAGCGTGATTCAGTTTTCACAAACCGTGAGATTGTGACCTGAGCCAAAATTAAGAGTTGGGCACTTAGCGAACTGAGCCACCCAGGCACCTCCTATACTTTTGTTTTTAAATCAATTTTCTTTCTGTTATACAGAATTGGTAAATTCTATTGATCTATCTTTAAGTTCTCTAATTCTTTTTTTAAATTTTTAAAAAAAATGTTTTATTTATTTTTGACAGACAAAGAGAGACAGAGAGAGACAAAGTATGAGTGGGGGAGGGGCAGGAAAAGAGGGAGACACAGAATCTGAAACAAGCTCCAAGCTCTGAGCTGCCAACACAGAGCCTGAGGTGGGGCTAGAACTCGTCAATCGTGAGATCATGAATTGAGTCGAAGTCAGACACTTAACAAACTGAGCCACCCAGGTGCCCCTAAATTCTCTGATTCTATCTTCTTAGTTTCCATTCTGCTATTGAGCCCATTCAGCATGATTTTAATTTTTGGTTGGTGTGTTTTTCAGTTCTGTCACGTCCATTTGATATGTCTGTACATATATATTTTTTCTTTTTTGGCTGAAATTTTTCCATTTTTTGTTTGTTTCAAGAACGCTTGTGATTGCTTATTGAAGAATTTTTATGATGACTTCATTAAGATACTTTTCAGATAATTTAAACATCTTAATCCTCTCAGTGTTGGTGTCTTTGGATTTTTTTTTTTTTTTTCATTAAGGTTGTGATTTTCCTGGCTTTGGTAAAACCAGTAATTTAAAACAAAGTTTTATCCTGGACTTTTTGGATATTAAATTATGAGACTCTGGATTCTATATAGTCTCCTTTTCACAGCAGGCAATCGCTTTGTTGACAGGTAGTGTGAGGGCTGGATGGTGTGTATGTCAAGTTCCCTGAATGCCTACTCATACTTCCTCAATGAAGATGACCAAAGTACATATCTGCCACACTCCTCAGTCATACTCCCTAAATCCTGGTGAAAGTCAGATGCCAACCACATCACGCATTGCCTTGAGTGGAGTGTCAGCTTATTTCCCTGGTTGATTGTGCTGCCCACTAGAGGGTGGGGGTAGGGATTGATGTTTGTGGCTTTGTAGCTACAGGATGGTGGTAGGAGCTTAGCTCTCCATGTGAGATCCTGCTGACCCAGAGGAGGAGATGGAGGGAAAGCTGAGGGAAGGAGCCCCACCTCCCATCACCTCACCCCACCTTGATGATGACAGGTGGGAGCTGAGCATTCTGCTAAGCTATGGTGGTCAACATGGAGGTGAGGCAGAGTACTGGCTAACCTCATCTCATACCACCTCACTCAGCTTACTTGCTGCAGGGTAGGTGTGGGAGTTAAACTTCCTAATGGACCCCACTTACATTACCCCAAGGGAAATGGGAATTCTGCCTGCTTCTTCATGGTGGGGATAAGCTTCCTGCTTGCCCCCTCGAACTCCACCAGCCAGGAGCATTAGAGGATATGCAGAAGGCTAGCCCCCTGCTTGCCCTGCTGAACCCCAGTGAAAAGGGGACACTGGCTTCATTGATGCATGATTGTATTAGGGCATGTTGACAATAAGACTGAATGCAGTTAGGGAGAACAGGCTTTCTTGGATTTATTTATTTATTTATTTATTTTGTTGTGTTGTTAGTGATTCTGGATTGCAGACTTCTAGAGCACACAGTCGAGGATGTATGGGAGGCAATAAGAAAATCCTTGAGACTTACTGCCTTGTTATTCGTCAAGTTTCAAGGTGCTAGACAATCAGCCTTATCCTTTACCTTTAATGGACCATCCATACCTTTTGTTGGATTATATCCAAGGTTCATTGGTTTGTTAGGGAGCATCTGGGAGGAATGGGGCTGCTCTTTCTTGACCAGAATTGGAAGTCCACAAGCGTTGATATTCAAGGTTTTTTTTTTAGTAATTCTTTAAAATTTTTTATAATTTTTGTTACAATTATTTTTTTGACTCATGGACTATCTAAAAGTGTATTGCAAAATTTCAGAATATTTTGGGATTTTCTAATTATCACTTTTGTTATTGCTTTCTAATATAATTTCATGCTGAATAATTTCAATCCTTTGATAATGATTGAGACTTTATTTCACCCAGTATATAAGCAGTTTCAGCAAACATTCCATATGCATTTAAAAGAATGTGTATTATCGTTTTCTTTAGTGCAATATCATACATATTTCAACTAGTTCATATTTTTCATTAAGGGTTCTGATCCTCTGTATCATTAATGGTGTTATCATTAATAGTGTTATCATTAATGGTGTTTTTGTCTGTTTATTGTATGAGATATTGAGAAAGTGTATTTCAGTCTCCCACTGTGATGGTAGCTTTTTGTGTTTCTCTTTTTAGTGTGTCAATATTTACTGTATACATTTACATTATTTGATATAAACAGATTTAGGACTTTATGAATTTTTGATATATAAACCTTTATCATTATGAAATGTCCTATATCTCCAAAACTATTTCTTGCTTTCAAGAATTACACCAAAGAACTACTGGTTAATATTTATATTATATATTCTTTTATCCTTTCTTTCAACTTTATTTAGTCATACTCTACAAAATGTGTCTTTTCTAAGCTGTATATATTTTTTCTTGTATTTCTTTCTTAAATTCAAAATAACAATCTTGATCTTCCAGTTGGATTATTTAGTCTAATTACTTGTAAATACTGGCATATTTAGGATTATATTTACCATATTAGTATTTGTTTTCTGTTTAACACTTTAGATTTTTGTTTTATTATTAAACCTTTTATCTTGAGATAATTGTATTTTCACATGAAGTTGTAAGAAATAGAGATTCTGTTTACCTTTTACCCATTTACCCAAATGGTAACTTCTTGCAAAACTATAGTACCATAACACATTCAGGAAATGGATAAAATCCACCACTCATTCAAAATTCACATGTAATCATTGTATGTGTGTGTGTAGTTCTATAGAATGTGTTATCATGTTCATGTTCTCTTATCCATCATTAGAGGCACAGTCAAGAACTGTTCCATGAGAACCAGAAGAACCTTTCTGTTACCCGTCTATAACCGTGTCATATCTGTCCTCCTTTACCATGTCCCTGACCTCTGACAACTTACTCATTTGT